TTTTTCCATAGGGAATGGGCTGACCCATTTCTCATTGGTTTAGGATGCTCAAGGTTTACCAAATGCTGCATATTTCTCCCTCTGCAGGGGCCCGAGCAGGCAAAGATCACATTTATAAAGACTATTTATTAATGAAAGAAAAAGCTTTATTTCACTTGGATTTGGCCAATAGCTCGGGGTTTGGGCACTTCAGCTCCCTATAAACCAATCCTTTCAATGGTGTTCCTAACCAAACCCCTTAGATTAGGGAGCTTCTTGCCCTAGCCCAGATTTCCTCCTGCTCCCAGCAGCTCCCAGCCTCAAGAACAAGAGGTTTGGAGCAGATTGGGACCAAAAAAATCAAATGTGGGTATAGGAAGGAGCATAAAAATCATGGAAAATCACAGGAAAATCAGAGGGTTTAGGCATAATCCTCAGGAAAGGCTCAGAATTGATATTAAAATGCATTATTATTGCTAATCAATAGCAGCAGCTCTATAAAACATTGAGAACGATGCGATGCATCCGTTGCTCCCTTGCCATAATCCCTGCGGATGGTGAGCACCGGGATTTCTCCATTTCAGCTCCTGGCACCGGGGCCTTTGTGTTCTGGGGGCTGGGATGGGGAATTGGGCTCTTCCCAGAGGGGTGGTGGTGCCACGACTGGGAGCATCCCGGCTCACAGGGATGCAGATGGGGGTCCTGGTGCCACCCCTCCATAGGTCCCTTCTTGGAGGGGAACGGCCTCACGCAGCACCCGGGAAGCTGCGATTGGAAATGAGGAGTTTTCCAATGCAAAAGCTGGCAAAAAAAAGGGGGATTTGGGGCCGTTTGGGGCCTTCTTTCCCCAGCAGAAAGAGCCGGTGGCTCCGTGCCTGTCCCGGCACCGGCGGGATGTGAACAGCAGAACCCTCGTGGCTGCCACCAGCCTTTGTGGGTGCAGCGTGGGGAGGGTTTTGCCTCCTGCTTTTCCCTTCCCTTTCTTTAGTTCATGGGTTTCAATCCAGATTTTCCCCTTTTTTCCTTTATTTTTTGTCTTCCTTTTCCATTTTCTTTTTTCTTTTTCCCTTTTCTCCCTTTTTCTTCTTTTTTCCCCTTTTCCCTTTTCTTCCTTTTTTTTTCCCCTTTTCCATTTTTTCCTTTTTCCATTTTCCTTTTTTTCCTTTTTTTTTTTTTGCTTTTCCATTTTCTTTTTCCTTTTTCCATTTCCTTTGTTTTCCTTTTCCACTTGCTTTTTTTCTTTTTTCATTTTCCTTTTTCCATTTTTCCCCTTTTCCATTTTTCCCCTTTTCCATTTTTCTCCTTTTCCATTTTTCCCTTTTCCATTTTTCCCCTTTTCCATTTTTTCCCTTTTCCATTTTTCCTCTTTTCCATTTTTCCTCTTTTCCATTTTTCCCCTTTTCCATTTTTCCCCTTTTCCATTTTTCCCCTTTTCCATTTTTCCCCTTTTCCATTTTTCCCCTTTTCCATTTTTCCCCTTTTCCATTTTTCCCCTTCTCCATTTTTCTCCTTTTCCATTTTTTTAATTTTCCATTTTTTCCCCTTTCCATTTTTCCCTTTTCCATTTTTCTTTTTTTTTCAATTTTTTTCTTTCCTATTTCCTTTAATTTTTTTTGTTCCTTTTTTAATTTTTCATTTCCCTTTTTGTTTGTTTTCCCTTTTCCTCCCCTATTTTCTCTTCTTTCCCCCCCAGTCCTGCATTCATCCTGCTTTGTCTCCCCTCCTGCCCGCGTGTGGAAGGAAGGGGCAGGCGCTCCCACGCCAGTGGGGTTTTGTTGGTGATGCTGGGTTTGCCCTGGTGCTTTGTTCCACCCTACACCCTCCATGGGGACCACGGGGCACCCACAGGGGGTGCGGGTCGGGGTGCCCGGCCCTGGATGAGGGAACACAAAGCCCTACGGAAGACACGGGGGGCTCTTGTGATCCCGGTTGCGCGCGAAAGAGTTAACCCATTAGAAATTCCGAGCCCTTCTTCCGATAGTTAAACCTGATTTGCATGCATTTGCATAATGAATGTCATTTGCATTCTTGGAGGTTGGCTACTTCTGTGGGAAAAGTCAAAGCGGGATTGCGGGGAGGGCGAAGGGGGGTCGGCGAAGAAAGGAGGGAAGATCCCCCCCCTTCCGCACCCCATGCGCATCCCTGCCCCTCACCAGCCTCACCCTAATACTCTTCATTCCCCCCCCACTTTTTTCCCTCCCCTCGAAGCCTTCCTGCTTCTCCCTTCCGCAGGATGCACAAAAGCCAACGGATAGGATAGGCCGTGTCGAGGCGAAGCGCATCCTTCCCCTCTTTTCCCCCCCTTTCCCCTCTTTTCATTTCTCCCTCTAATTCCAGGCTGGCTCCCGTTGCCGGCGCCCTTGCCCTCTCCCTCCCCTTCCCGCGGGTGCATGCGTGCTGGAAACGGGAGCAGAAAGGGATAAAAAAAAGGTGGGAATCCACCATTTTAGGCAGCCGACGTCTAAAATGGCCGATTCTCTTCCCCCCCTGGTCCTCGCCATGCGGGCGGCTGCATCCTTGCAGCATCCCGGGCAACGCCGACGATCCCGCCCCGGGCACCGCATCCTCGCCGCGGGGTGCTCATCCCAGCCTCATCCATGGGGGTTTTCCTCTTCCCGCCCCTCGTGGGGCTCACTGTAGGGCGTCGTGGCCATGAACGACCCCCCGGCCATGCCCAAAGCACCCAACTCACCCCCTAAAACTCGAGCTCCTTTTGTTTCGGCTCCAGGCTGTGCAGTGGGATGGAGCCAAGGCAAGGGACAGGCTTTTGTACCCCATCTTCTATTCATTATCATTGGGCCCCACATGGATAATGTGGGGTTTGAGGCTCGGCAAGAAATGCTATTTCGTTCCTCGTAGACCTCAATAGGATGAAGGAAACCCCTTTGATTTGTAATCTCGGTGTCCCCCCCCACTTCTTTCCCCCAGAAAAACCCAACAGAGCCATTTTTAAAGCTGCTGAGCCCGTTCTGTGGCTGTTCAAGAGGGGAAATCAAGGTGAGCCATGAGCAAATTCATCCCCTCCTTGGATAAGCAGAGGTGGGAGAGGCTTCACCTGGTCCGGATGGGTTGTGGGTACAAAGATCTTGCACTAAGAGGGGGGAAACCTCCCTTTCTACACCATAGAACCCAATGGGGTGTGGACTGAGCCATTCTACTCCGGCACTGGGAATGCTGTGGGGTGGGTTTATCTGCAGATCCTGTTGGGAGAAACTGATGCTTTAGGTGCAGATCTGGGTGTTACAGGAGAGTTTTTGTTGTTCTTAATTTCTCCCCATCCCTCTGTTGCCATGGGACCCTAGAAACTTAAAAGCCTCAATACCCCGAGTGAGTTTAACCCTGGTGCGACGGGAATGTGGAAAGCAGATTAAAACCAACCGGAAATTTATCCTGAGAAGGAACAGAAATCCCGGGATTTTCCCCTTGGTGGGTGGATGCTGGAGCCCCAAACGCGCTCGGTTGGGATTGTCCCCATAGGGAAGTGCTGCTCAGCTCAGTCCTGGGCCCGCCTGGGGTCTCTGAGGTGGGAAGGGAGCAGGGAAGTGGTGACCACGACCATCACCATCCCTTGGGATCCCTCCTGCAGCCACGCGCTCCCCTCCGCCTGCCAAACGTGCTTAGTCAGGAATGGGAACCACGTTCCTAAAGCTCCCAAAAATGCACTAAGGCTCTCAGCTATTTGGCTAAGCCGCATGGACTTAGCTGGTTTCTCACTGCTTTCATTGCTAACCTTTGCTCCACGCTGGGTCTGGGGGGGTTTCTTCCTTCCTTATTCTCAGCCTGGGATGGGGCACGTTGATGGGTGGGAAGTGGGGCTGGAAGGAGAGGATGGATGTGGGCATCCCTGCGCTGCTCCCGCTCACTCTCCGTCACTTCCTTCCCACAGCATGGATTCTCTCTCTGATTTCTGTAGTGTTATCAATGATTTATGGGACTAATGGGCAGGGGAAAAGGCTCTTTCTCTGGCCCAAGCACCTTCCTCTATCAAACAAGCCAAGCAACCTCTGCACTCGCTGTTTGAATCCATGTGTGAAGGGATGAAGGCAGAGTTTATGCAGATGGGAAAGGAACCAAGCTCTCCTGCTTGCTTCCCACAGAGCACCGGGTTGGGGTCACAGGGATGGGTTCCACCGGGATCCTCACTCTACATTTGATCCAAGCATCTTCCCTCGATGCATCTCCCAAGGCTTTCAAGTGCCTTGGTGGAGCCGGCAGTGGCCTGGGCAGGGAGGGAAGCCTGGAGAAGGCAAATGGGGAAGAAAAGCAGCCACAAAAGGGGGGTTTTGGCTTAGATTTCCAGTCTCCAGCCCTGCTTTGTCCCAACTGATCCCTCTCTTCCTCCATCCCCTTTTCCCGCCAGGAACGTGGCTGTAATCTCCCTGCTCTGGTGTAATCCAGGCACGGGAGGATGGGGCTGACATTCAGCACATTCCCATCCTCTTTTCTTTCTCTCCCTGCCAGGGACCAGAGTGGGATCCCCCTCCGTGATGCTCTGCTCGTTTTGCAGCTGGTGAATCCCGTGTCTCCGGCCCCGCTGACAGTTGACATGGAATTTCCTAGTAAGTGGATTCATCTCTAAGGCTTTCCATAAGCTCTTCCACTGGGCAGCCTCTGCACGCTGCCGGGATGGGCTGAATCCCATAGGGAATGCTCAGGGACTGCTTCAAGACCACCATGACCGCATCATAGGGAAACAGAGAGGCCAAAAGCTCTGTGGTCACCAGCATCTTCCTCCCCATCCCCTCATCCCAAAGCCTGGGACAGTTGTGGATGTAACTTTGTCCATGTGGGTTTGTTACCTCGTGATCCTCAATCCCTGTGAAAGGGTTTCCACCTGGGAGAACAAAGGGGTCTTTTGGGGTTCTTTTGTCTTTGAAGTGGAAAGAGGGTGAAAAAGGTGTTTCTGCTGCTTTTGATTTTAACTCAGGTGAGCATGAACCCAGCAGTGGGGAAGAAACCACCTCCAAAAGGCACCAGAGCCCCGCCAGTGGGACCTGTGCAGAAGCCCCTCACCGTGGCTGCTCCCACTTGCATCCTCTTCCTCCTTCTCCTCCTCCTCCTGGAGCACAATGATGTAGACCACGACTTGCAGCAGCATCCCTCCAGGCTGCTCGGGGCTCCTGGGGCTTCGCCATAGGGACGCCAACACCAGATGGGACGGAGAAGACCCTGGGACATCACCATCCTGCTGCTGTGCATTGGTCCTGCGCTACTGGTGAGAGCGGGGTGGGATGCGGGTACCGCATTGGGGCGCAGGGATGCCGCATCCGTCCGGGGATGGGTACCACAGGTAGAGCAGCCCCGAGGCGGAGGTGATGGGCAGGGGGAGAGGGGCCGGGAAGGGACAGTGTGTTTATTAACCAGGCGCAGCTGAAGCGGGTCCTTTGCCAGTGGTCAAGTCTGAATCACAAACTCCGCATTGTTGCCGAGTGGGTTCAGCGCATTTCCCTTCTCCCCCCCTCCCTTCCCCTTTCCTCTCCTCTCACCCTCGCACAAAGATGTCATTGTGCCGGGGACTTGGTGATGGCAGCGTTGTTATTTGGTCCAAAACTAAAGGAGAAAGAAGTGGGGAGGGGGGAACCCAACAAGGTGAAGAGGTTTAAATCAGCTTAGCCCAAATGCCAATTAAAAACCAAAGAGGATTAAGCTTGTGATCAGCAGAATAGACACTCATTGTACCCCGACGAGGAGGGTTCCCCCCTCCAGGCCCGACGCAGCCGTGCCGCAGGTCTCGCTGCCGACCGTCGCCGTGGTGGGATGGGGCAGCAAAGACCCCGTTCTTGCACCTTTGAGTGTGTGCAAGGCTGGGGTTGAGCCGAGCAAGGGGAAGTCTTGGTCTCTCTGCCAAGGGGAATGGGTTGAATCCCCCCTGAAGGGGAATGGGTTGAATGGAGAAGCTGTGGCTGCCCCATCCCTCGCAGTGTTCAAGGCCAGGTTAGATGGGACTTGGAGCACCCTGCTCTAGTGGAAGGTGTCCCTGGGTTGGAGCTTTAAGGTCCTTCCAACCCAAAGCAGTCTGGGACTAGAGCAGCTTTTAGGTCTGAGTGCATCTCTTGGCCATGAGATGGTGGTGACCCCCGGAGGTGGGATCCTGAGCACGTGTCTGGGACAGAGCTGGATGAGAGCCCTCATCACCTGCAGGACCTCTGCTCCCAAAAAGCCAACACCAAGCCTTTGGTCCTGGAGCAGTGATGGAGAAACGCCAGGAGCATCGCATGGGCTGTGCCGCAGGCAATGGAGGTCCAGAGAACACTTTGTGCTTCTCTGCACCATGGCCTGGAGATGGCATCTTGGTGCTTTCCTCCTGCTTTAGTCCTCCTATGTCTCACCCAGCTCTAGGCACCTCTGTCAGTAAACTGGTAATACCCCAGGAGCAAAGATGCTCTGTACCCACATGGCTGTTGTGGGTGTAAGAAGTGTGTAGACATCAGGGATGCCTTAATACCACACCAGTGACTTAGAAAGGGTCTTCACTTGGGCAGAGGCTGTCATTACGTGCTAACTTGAAGGCTATGTTTTGGAAGGGAAAGGCTCCCAGCATAGGTGGAAGCCAGACCAAGCAGGGCACCACTGTCTGCATCCCGCTGTCCTGCTTTGCATGGGAGTCCAGGGCGGGCTGTGATGGAGCCTCATCCAGACCCAGGCAAAAGCTCATGGGAGAAGCTGAGCTGAGACGTTGCTGCTGTTGGCTCTGGTTGCAAAATGCTCCCGGATCTGAACCACCAAGAGGAAAAGGAGCAAAAGGGCCTCTTCTCTGAAGAGCAGAAGGAGAAAGCATCGCGCCTCTGCACCAGGATCTCTTTCTCCCCATTCCTGGTTGGCACTGGCTGAGGGACCACATGCCTGATGTGATGGATGACTCCATGCGCAGGCATCGGATGCTTGGCAGCATTTTGGGGCAGCATGCAGGGTTGCTGTGGAGTGGAGACAGGAGGAAGGTGCAGGAGATGTCATGGGCTGGGAGGGGCAACGCCACCACCTCCCTCCTTTGGAAACCCATCAGGCTGCCACTGCCATAGAATCATAGATCATAGAACGGGTTGGGTTGCAAAGGACCTTAAATCCAGGTCCAACCCCTGCCACGGGCAGGGACACCTTCCACTGGAGCCTGTGTCCAACCTGGCCTTGAGCACTGCTAGTGACGGGGCAGCCACAGCTTCACTGGGCACCCAATGCCAGCGCCTCAGCACCCTCACAGGGAACAGCTTGCTCCTTATCTCCAACCTGATCTTGCCCCGTTTCAGTCTGAACCCATCACCCCTTGTCCTATCGCTCCAGTCCCCGCTGAAGAGCGGACCCTGTCCGAGGATGCCCGCCAGCACCCAGGCTGCGGGAGTGGGGACGAGGGCCGGATCCATCCCCTTTTGTTGCTGCCGTGTAATTTATGATATGAGAGGGGCCATTGTCTGGCCCCATCCTGTATTTCTCCGAGGGCTTTGCCTCTCTTCCCAGACCCCCGCTGTGCTCCCGCTACTGTACGGTTGCTATGGGACGTGCTCCCCGCGCCGCGGCTATGCGGGGCAGTGCCGGGGAGGGCTGCCCACGGCGGCCGGACCCATCTGGAGCCCCGAGCCCGCTGCCGGCACCCGGCGGCCCCGCTGACGTGCCGAGGGCCTGGGAATGGGGCTTTCAACCCCTCCAAGTTCACGGCCACTGGAGGCATTCAGCTGCCAAAAGCAAGGGAAGCGGGGGGGTGCAGTGGGATCTGGGGTGTTTGGCTCCATTCTCCCTTCCCTTTCAGTGTCCTCGGCGCATACAGATCCCCCCCGTCCCTTTCTCCTCCTGACAAGTGCGCACATAAATAAATTACCCCACCGGGCGAGTGTGGAACAATCTGTCCCCTAAATTCTATTCATGGCCAGACAGGAGCCATTATTCCCCCGATTAAAGCCGCTGGAGTAGCTTGCAAGGGTTACAGTTACTCTGTCAAACTGTAAATAAGACACTAAAAATAAAGGGCGCTGGCGAGGGAAGGGGGAAAGGGAACCAGACTAATGCCTGCTGCTAGGGAAACCGAATGAATCCCTAATGATGCCTGTGTACAAACTGCAGATAATGAAGGCAAAGTGACCCGCTCAGAATCGCCCTGCTCCGTGGGGACCTGCTCACCCCTTCCTGCAGGGAGTAAACCCTTTTCCTGCGCCCCAGTGCTGAGGTCCCGGTGCTCAGCGTACAGGAAGGGCTGGTGGATGGGGATGTGCTTGGGGCGTAGAAACCCCGCATCCCTGGTTGAGGAGGTGGGATGCAGGGCAGCGGTAGGACCAGGGAGGGTCCAGGTCTGTCTGCCCTGAGCCCATCCCTCGGGCAGTGGGGATGCAGCCAAGGCTCCTTCCTCCTGCAGCAGGTCATGGCTGAGGCACGGACCTGGAGCTCAGCCCTGGGGCTGCCCCTTGCTGCTGCATAGAATAGAATCAGCATCAACCAGGTTGGAAAAGCCCTTTGAGATCGGGTCCAAGCATGGCTCCAGGACTGCCAAGGCCACCGCTAACGCATGTCACTGAGATGGATTAGAGGGAAGATCATCTCCAGCCCTAGAAAGCCTCTTTGGATAAAACCCAATTCCCTTCTTGCCGTTCTCTTACCAGCCAGGAAGGGCCAAATGCTGGTGCCCAGGGAAGTGTTATTGTCATAGAACCATAGAATCACAGAATGCTTTGGGCTGAGGGACATTAAAGCTCATCCAGTTCCAAACCAGGGATACCTCACGCTAGAGCAGCTTGCTCCAAGCCCCGTCCAACCTGGCCTTGAGCACTGCCAGGGATGGGGCAAGGAGAAATCCGGCTGCTCCGTCCATCCCAAACATCTGAGGCCAGGCAGGGAAGCGCAGGAGGCAAATCTCATAACCAGGGTTGAGCAAAACCCAAACCTGGGCTGTCCTGGTGCTGCCCCAGCATGGAAATGGGCAGCTCTGCATGAAACCTGCTCCCCAGAGGTTGCCTTTAGAGGAATAATGGGCTCAGAGAGCTTAATCTCATCCTGGGAGAGGGGTTTGATCCTGTGGGCTTCGCTCCATAGCCAGGGGTGGCTTTGCTTGAGGACGCTGGGGCTGGGAGCAGCATCAGCGCCAGGGATGCACTCAGGGGTATCCAGCTCCCCCTGAGCCCGCAGCGAGGATGGCAAGACTCAATCAAGTGAACTTCCTTGCCTTTCCCTGCCTGCACCTTTTAGGTCACGTTGTTCAGCCTCCAAAAGGAGGATTATTGCTGGGGTTTTAATGCAAGTTGTGCTGGTCATCACCTGGCTCCAGAACCAGGAGCTGCAGAGGGGTGGTTTGCCCTCGAGCAAAGCATGTCCTGACCTGGAAAGATGAAGAAAATCAGAGAGTCTTCGACATTCAACATCTTTATGCCAGTTGGGAAAGGAGAAGCCCTTCTTTGCCTCCAAATACCGAGGGGTTCTGTCCTGTCCATGGGTGTAATCGACCCGTGTCCATAAACCAAAAGCCTCACCTCGCTCCTCTCTTCCTGCTGTGGAAGGGCTTGTGGAGGGTGAGGTTTGATAACGCCATTGCCAGTCCCCTTCCCCTTTCAAGGATCAGGATGAGGGCAACCCCTTCAATCTGCTTTCATTCCAAAGAACGTGATTGTGAAAGCTGCTGGCAGGGAACGCGCACCCCTTTGCAGTAATAGCCAGGTAGCTGGCATGGCTAAACCACAGCTTTCACCTTTTCCATTCCAACCTCCTTTGAAAGCACATTTAAACACGTCCCGGCAGGCAATGTGAGGGCTTCATTTGACCCAATAAGTGCATAGGCACATAGGGAAGAACATCACCATAACCCCCTGTAAGCCCTGGTGCCAGCGATGGCATCAGAGGACTGGCGAGTGGGAGAAGGGGCTCGGTGTTCCATATTCCATAAAGGAATGAAGTATTCCTGGTTTGGATGACTTCAAACACAGTGACTCCAGGAAATAAGCCCCTTCTTTATAATTAGTGGGATTTCCTCCGCATCAAACGGAGCGATTGATTCTTTAATCTGCTCACATGCTTTTGATTTGGTCGCTCAGCTCCTTGTACCAACTGCTTCTACTCCCTGCTCGGGCCGATAAAGCCTTTGCAAAGGAGATTTTGGGGAGGCATGACCCGAGTTGAGGTCTAGGATTTGCTTTGTGTGGGGCTGTTTTGCGTAGGCTGAATTTGCCAGAGATGATCACGGTGATAGTGAAGAGAGGATCTAACATGGAGAATTTTAACAGCAAGGTCAAATAATGGGGGTTTGGGGGGGGTCTTGTTGTAGTTTCCTCTTCCCAAGAGGCTTTTTGAGGGCTCGGTTATAATAAGGACTTGATTTCTGAAGGACTTGGGATGTGCAGAGGAAAGAGGGCCCTTTTCTAGAGCATTTCAAGTGTTTGGTCCCCATTTAGGGCTAAACCCAGGCTCTTTGAAAGCAAAAATCCCCCCCAGATGTTGATGCTTTGCACAGGAAGAGTTCAGGAGAGAACAGGATCTCAGACCCATAGAATGGGTTGGGTTGGAAGGGACCTTCCAAAGTCATCCGGTCCAACCCCCCTGCAATGAGCAGGAGCATCTTAACTTGATGTCCTCTTGACAAGTGCATGAGCAAGCAGCTCCTCCCTGGGCACGTCCATGGGGTTGGTGGCACCGCATTGGTCATACAGGGAATGTGCTCTGGTGCCTGTGCTGGTTCCGGGCATGGATGAGTCCTACCCTGTGATACCCCCACCTCCAAACGAGCTCAGATCCTGAATGATCCCAACAAACAGCCCCTGGGATGGATTTCTTTCTGGCATGCAAAGTTCTCCTGAGAAAACAGAGGGAAATGTGGGACTGGGCTGTTTCCCATCCACCTTTTGGTCCTGTTGGAAACGGAGCATGGGCAAGAGTGATGCCCGCAGTGCTGCGTCTCAACTGCATCCCTTCGGATGGAGCCATCAGAGGATGATGGCTCTGCCGAGGGTTGTTTTGGTAGCAGGGACCAGCATCCCGACCACAACCCCTGTCCCCTGGGGCTGGCATCGCCCTCGGTGCACGTCCTCACACAGGTTGTGTGTGGGGCTGGCCCCACCGTGCTTTGGGGGTCATGAGGCTGCAGGGAGGAGCTGTGGGAAGGGGATCCTAGCCCAGAGCCAAGGTGAGCACAGAGCAGTGGTTTATTATGCCCCTCACAAGCGTCCCTCATTGGAGCGGTGTTGAACACAGATCATATCATTAGGGACCCGGCGAGCACCTAACCATACAATTATGCAAATAGTGATCAAAATCAGTGTTTTCAGCAGAAAAGCCTCAAGATCAAGACAGGAGCTTCCTGCAGCCTTAATTTAATCTGGTCCTGCAGGAGGGGGGAGGTCTGATGGATGACCCAACCTCAGGCCTGCCTGTGCTAAGCAAGGCTGCGGTGGGAGGCAGGGGAGGGAAGGATGCTAAGGGAGGGAAAACCAGCGCCAGGATCACGTTGGGATGATGGCAAAGCAGGAAGCAACCATCTCCAATGGAAGCTGCAGTGATTTTGTGTTTTCTTTTGCTTGCAGGTGAAGAACACGCTGCTGGGAGGGGAAAAGGAGCAAAGCAAGGAAAGGCAGTCTCGGAGCGCAGGAAATGTGTGTTAATGGCTTGTGGATGTCTCTGTCTCCCACATGATGGAATTGCCGGTGCCGGGCTGTTTTTGACAGCCTGTCTTTTCCATGTTTTTAAAATATTCATGCCCCGAAATCTAATTACCAGCAAATTTCATGCTAATGAAGGGAAGGCTTCGGCTTCCCTCTGCCTCCCTCTTGTTCGCGGTGCTCTAAGAGAGCTCTTTCTTTCTTCCCCACTGCTTTTCTTGCATGGCAAACCCAACCCCAAGCGAAGGATCGCCGACAATAAAGCTTGGCTTGCTCAAGGTGTCTGTTCACTGGTGGCTCTGTTCCTATGGCGGGGAATGGTGATGAAAGAGGTGTTTGGCGCAGACCGAATGAGCAGATGAATTATTAGGAGCAGAGGGGTAACATTGCGAGGCTGGAACAAAGATGAAACAGGGGGAACGTCACCCTTGGCATCCCTTGGACATCTCCAGCCCCTTTGCAGGGTATTGGGCTGGTCCCTGTCCTCCCAAGGGAGGCTGGAGCGTGTACATGATGCCTGGCGTGTGGTTGTGATTGATGGAGCATGGGGTGAATAGAGCATGGATGTGATGGATGGAGCATGGATGTGATGGATGGAGCACATGTGTGATGAAGGAGCATGTGAGTTTCTGGGGTCCTTGTTTCTCTATGAGAATTCGGGGGGAATTTGGGAATGTGGGTTGGGCCAAAGTGGCTTTTCCTCCCCACAGATGCTGCTCCTTGCATCCTGGGAGGGCTGGGAATGGTCCTGAGGGAGGACCAGTAAAGGCCTCTCCTTGCCCTGCGCTTGGCTGTGGCAAACCTCTTGGAAGTAGCTCCTGGACCATGTTAATCCCCTTAATCCTTCCTGCAGCCATTCCCTGCTGGAGATCAGCTGCTGAGAGGCTTCCTGCCACCATCCCTGAAGTGCTGGAGGGATCAATGCTCGCTATAGGTTAAGGGGAGACCCTTCACGCCTCCAGTTTCCACCCTCCTTGCAGCAAAGGCTTGCACGCTGAGAGGAGGATGGGGAGAGCTGCTGCCTGCTCCTATAGCCAATGGATTTGGGATGTGGCTTTCCAGGCTTGTGCTCCCTCTGCCCTTAGGGGCTTTGCAAAGGACCCCATCCCCATCATCAGTGGTGCTTCTACCCCTGCCCTGTGGAGATGCTGAGGCAGGAGGGGTCCAGTGCACGCCTTGGGGCTCCCATGAGGGGGGCAGAGCAGTTTTGGGGGTTCTCAACATGCAGAGGGCATTTGATGCTCAGTTTTGGGCTGAAAAAGCCCCTTTTCCATGAGGCCTCGGGAGCATTGAGAGCCTGCCCATTGACACGCATCTCTGTTTGCTTTCCAGAGCTCTCGGGGCTGCATTTATCCTGCCAAAATGACAGTTTTCCCTTGGAGAGCCGCAGCCTGGCACCATGATTATAATTGGCACTAATTTCTTTCTTTTTCCAATCAGGTTTGTACCTTGACACACACACAAGCAGAAAAGGAGGCAGATTCCCACAGGAGAAGCTGGCGCTGCCCTGGGGTGCTTCCAGAGAGGTGCCAGATTTCAGGTTATGGTGAGGAAGGGGCAATACGAGCCCTTGTTAGCCCCTTCCCCACCTCAACATGCAGGCCTCAAGGTGGCCACTGGGAATGGTTCATGCAAACACCTTCGGAAGGAGCAGGCACCCCTCAGAGCGGAGAAATCCCAAACCCACCCTAAAGAAGGCTGGATGGGGGATGAGGGCTCATAGGGAAGAGCTTCTGCCTTACATCTAGCCTACATGTCCCTGGTTTAAGCTGTAGGCCCGTTCAGATGCTGGGATACCTTTACATTTTCCAGTACCTGAAGATGCTCCAGCATCCCCCTTCGGATACGTGGGATGTAGGAGGCAGGAAGGCACCAGAGGGAAGGGTGAAAAGAGGCTGTGGAGCTCAAAGGGGGGTTGAGAAGCGCTTCTGAGCTGCTCCTGCATCTCTGCTGGGGTCAGGAGAGGAGAATTTGGCCACCTTAGCCATTGCTTTAGCTGCAGAGTGAGCTGCAGAGGGGGTATCACGGGCAGAAACGCTGGGATGCCCTCCAAAATATCCCCCCCCTTTTTTTTTTACCCCTACCCAGAAATAACTCCCTAAAAACAAAGCGCTGGATTGTTCAGCCAGCTAAAATTACCAGCATGTCAACGAAAATATGTACAGCATTACAGTCAAATTTGCATCGCCATAATGCTTTATTAAGCACATTAGGAGATTAAAAGAATCAACCCATTTGTTCCCATTCACGGCGCGCTGAGGATTTGCATTTCTTCCCCCCCCCCCCTTTACCCCCTTCCTCAACCAGCCTTGCAAAGAGCCCCCACCCCATAAGAAGGTGTCTGTGTGTGTGTGTGTGTGTGCCGAGGGGGGTTTAAATCACAGCACTTGACTCGGGGCTGTTTGTCTGCGTGAGGAGGGCTGGGCCGCGGAAGAAAAGGTTTGGCTGCTTCCATTGCGGCTCAAATGGTTAATTAAGACAATAGAGGCTCCCTAACAATCGGGGCCAGGGCTCTGAATGCTTGTCTAGACTCTATAGTGCGGCTCCAAGTTCTCCGTCGGAATTTTAACGTGGCCGGGCTGTCCCCTCCCTCCGTCCCCGCCTCCCAGCTCCTGGCCAGGAATTCCCGTTTCCCTTTTGTTTGGTTCCCCCCCCCCCCCTCCCCATCCTTCTCTCTTTTTTGGGGGGTCCTTAATCAAGCCTTTGAGTGCTCGGGGCTGGATTGACAGCTCGGCCTTGTCTGAGGGCTTGGGTTTGCCACGCCGCTTCCCCGGCACCGCAACCGGAGGAGGTGTTAACGGAGCTGCTCTGCTCCCCGATGGACCTGATCCTGGGGCAGGGGAAAGGGGCTGAGACCAGGTGCTGAGGCTCAGTGGAAGGGGGGATGGCAGCAGGAAATGAGGGAGCATCAGTCCCAGCATCGTTTTCATGCTGGAAGAGAGAAGGATTTTCATGCTGGAAGCCTTGGCAAGGGCTGAGGAGGAAGATGGGGGAGGCTGATGCTCAGGGGTTTGGGGTCCTGGGCTGCCTGAGCTGCATTGCTCTGGCTCTTGCAATCCAGTCTGCCCAGAGCCAGGGCTAATCCTGCTCTTGGGATCTCTGTGGAGCAAGTGGATGGGGTTGGGCCGTGTGAAGCCAGCGCTACCCCAGGTAAGGGGGTCCCTGCCAGCCCTGCTGCACACCTTGAGCAGGAGCTGGGTTTGTAAAGAGCTGGTCTGGTCCCAGGAACAACAACGACCCAAAGCTCCCCCTCGAGCTCTGAGATACCTCCAGGCCATGGAGAAAAGCAACATGAGCAGGGAGAGGTGCAGGGAGACCTCAAGTTTTTCCACCTCCACCACTTTTAACCTGCCCTTTGGGAGCTGCTTCACAAAGATCCTCAAAGCACCTAAGAAAGAGCATCCCAGGGCTCCAGCTTGCAGGAACTCAGCTGGGCTCCATCAACCCAAAAGCTTGGTCCCTGGAGGAGGATGGGGGCTGTGACTGGAGCATCTCCCCATAGGCATGCTCTCCATAGCTGAGGCGTGGGCGCTGCTGTTGGGGTACCCCTTAGCCACGCTACATCAGGTCTGCTCCGTTTGGCCACATATGGGGCCTCAGCCCCTCTCTTTCTGACCCACGGGGAGAGCCTGCCTGGTGTCTCGGTGGCTTTGGAGGCAGTCTGAAGTGGCTGCAGGGTTATAATGGCTCGCACAGCAGGAGGGAACCTCTCTGGAGGAGGATGCGGGGATGCAGCCACACGCTTGAAATATGGGCGAGATTATTCCAACTGCATCCATGCAAATGAGGCCCGTCTGTAGACAGGAGAGACAAAAGGTCATTAGCTTCCCATGTAGAGCCCTTGCACAGGGCCTAATTTACTGTCTTCCGAAGCCTTTTCTACAGATCTTGCATTTTTAGGCTTAAACTGGTGAGATTTGGGCAGGTCTGGATGGGTGTTGAGTAACCCGGGGGTTATTGGATACCCTGGGATGTGCAGCGAGCAGGAGGGATGGCGCAAGAGTCCAGCTTCTCCTCAAAAGCAGATGTTGGAGGCCGGTCGCATCCTTCGGGTTGGCTTGTAAATGGAAGTGCACTTCAGGGCCTCCAGAAACATGAGATCCCCCAGGTTTTTCCCTCAAAACATGCCTTTCTGCCTGCCCAGAAGCTTGCAAGCCCTTTGGATCCCCTCAGTGATGCTGGATTTGGGGCCGCTGGGACCAAAGTGAGCTTGGAGCATCCTTGAAGCCAGCCTGGCTGCCCCTATGGAACCCAACATCCCTCCTTTGGGTGAGTGGCTCTGGCTGGGGCATTCAGGAAGACTCAGGGGCTTTGGAGGCTCCTGCAGCTCTTGGTGAACCCTTCCAGGAGCTGAAGGGAGCTGGCTTGGATCCGGCCCAGTCTGCTCAAGCGGTGCAGGGAGCTTCCCCATCGATGCTCTGGCTGCTGCTGCCTGAGCTTGGGGCTCTAAAGGAGCCAATGGTCCTTCCCTGCTTCATCTGGGCTGCTCTGCTCCTCCAGCGAGGCCTCCCGGGGAGGCAGCAGTGATGGGAAGGGGTTGCCATCACCCCAAAAGCATCCCCTAAGCACGGGAGCTGGGAGGCGGGATCCACCCTGAGGATGCTTTGGGTGGGACGGGATCCCCCCTGGGTGCTGGGTGCTGGTTGAGGGGCTGGGAGGGCTCCAGCGCTGCTCCCGCCGGCTCTGCCTCCCCCAAGGCCGGGATTGAGAGTTTATTCACGCACTAATCACAGTGACATGATGGTCGTGGCAGACTAAAGCCATTCACTCCCCGAGCTGCCGGGGTCGGGAGGTCGCCCAAGTTCGCAAGAATGGGCCTTTTGTGATGCAGATCGGGCCAGACAAGCGGCAGGGTCCCGTCCCGTCCCCCCCCCCCCCACCACCGCCGGCCCAGGTTCCCCCCCTCACCACCATCACCACATCGAGAGGGACCAAGCATTACCATGGGGCTGGTCCATGGGGGGGGCGGTTTGGAGGGGGTGGGTGCTCCTGCACCCCTTTGGGTCCTGCGGATCCTTTGGGGTGGGTGCATTGCTGCGGTGAGGATGGAGGGAGGATGATGTGGGGCTGTGGGATGCTTGGTACTGGGGTGAGGCCACCTCGGAGCAGGCACCCAGCTCCCCCTTGCCTGCGTGTGGGGCTTTTGGGTGGCTCTTCCCAGCACTTCTGCGCCCGCATCAGCTTGGTCCTGGTGCTGCTGCTGGGCTCTGGGGGGGTTATATGGGGCCATGTGGAACCCCCAAGACCCCCAGGGTCACCGCGAGGAGCTGTGCTCCTG